TATTGCTTTTCTTAGGTAGGTAAATGGGTCACAACACGATGTTATTCGCCACATGATATTTTGCAATAAACGGCCTATCTAATGATGAAAGATTGTTTATTTTATTAAAGTTACTAGGTCTTTCTGTAACATCGTTTGTGTTTTATTTTAGAGTAGTAGTTGACCTACTTAGCTACTTTTTTTCCTCGCTACAGGAACTCTTATTTCGTTTATTAGTTACGGGTTGACAGCAGAAATCATGAACTTACATTAAGAGTAAGAATATTTTGGCAGCTTAATAGTCCCGTATTACTATTCGCCTTTTACCATAAGTAAAATCTTTTTCCACAAAACTAATAATTAGATTATTAGGATGGAAATATAACTATTCGAAGCTCAAATTGCCAATGTAGTTACTTTTGTGAATGTTTGTTTTGATCCCAACCAAAACATGTTAAATAAGCAACAGCCAAGATCAACAGGTCGTTAATACGTAAAATATTAGATAGATATTTGGTGTTGCTGTTGTTATTTTACAGAGATAAATATAGTATCCTAATCCCTAAGCACCATTTCAGCAGGTATAACTAATGTATTTATATAAACTCTTTACCCTTTATGAGTAAAGTAAACACGTAATATTAATAGTACTTATTAGCTTAAGAAATAACTCTTATGAGTCTTGTATTACATTATTCCAAGGTTCAAGAAAAGTATGTTAATGTATAGTCATTGTAACTTTTCTTGGTATAAATAATATAATTGTAAATAAAAAATACTCACGTCTGTTAGTCTTAACTTTCGATTAAAAATTCCACAAAGAAAACAAAAGTCACAGTCTTTGGAAAACGCGCGAATACCAAGTTAATAGTCTCTATGCACTCGTACAGTCATTTTGCACAAAATCACGATGTTTTACAAGAGCAAAAATAGCGTTAAGCGCGTGTAACCGCAATAAACGACTATCCGACAATGCATAAACAAAACTATGTTATGAACGCGGTTCTGGCGCGAACGTCCGAGGTTATTATCAAAGGCTATTGAACGGAGACGGATGGCGCAGCAAATTGATTTAAACGCCATCTATGCAAAGTGAGTTCATTTACAAACTTACAGGAAAATTTCAGCAGTGTTAATAAAATTTCGCTTTGCCATTTCCATACCCTCAAATTTAGCAGACACGCTCACTATTGGTTTGTTTATGGGTTCTTAACCAACATTAAGGCTTCACTAACAGTGTGCAAATGAGTAGAAACTCTTGTGAACACTGTTAGTGCCGCCTTTATATTCTTAACAAAAATAACCCACGCTATAATTTAAAATGTAAGTATGTAAATATACCGTAGTTAAATGCTGTTGTTATTACTATTATATTGTCAAATTGTGGTAACCTTCTTTTTAAGGTGACGGAATGGATAATCGCTTTGTATTTCCGCCTTCCAGGGGACGCCATCGAGTCGATACAGGAGCCAGGAATATATAGTTTTTCCACTTAAAACCACTTCGAACGACGACTGACATAGAGCAACGCGGACCGCCGGTGGCCTGTGTTGTTCTATGATTGCCGGCAATATACGCCCTAGTCCGGGGAGGACCCAGACCATATCATTTTGTGTCTTGTGTCTTGATGCGTACCGCAGCCCCTGATCACCCACCAGAGGTGCGCCGTGCCCACCCTCTAGCCACCAGCGGCCCCGTTGACGGCTGATATCGCCGCCAACCTTGTACCTAATTAGGTATTGTGCCTGAAAATATGTTAGGATTTAGATAAGTTGCGATACCTGGTATGTACTATGTTTGGTTGATTTGATTGCATTCATCGATCTTTAAAAATGCAATTAGACCGATAGCTGCCGTGGTAAATGGTCGTCCGTTATTAATACAGGCTGAGAATGTTCAGATCCAAAAAAAACTAGCTGGTTAGCAACGTGATAATTCGGGTAAAAGAATTACTTTAATAAAAATACTTAAGAAAAAACTAGGTTCGTGGCAAGTTTAAAAAAAAATCGAAGCGGTTCTAAAAACTGGCTTATTGAAAAAACAGGGATAAACAATTTTAATGGAAAAACAAAAAATAGAAAGTTGTAGTGTGGGAAAAATGAAGAAAATGAGAGTTGCTGAAGTCAATTTCGTTTGAAACTTTACGAGAAAACACGTTTTGTACGCCGGATCCTTAATGCATTATATAAAACCGACTACCAATAAAGTCTGATCACATTTAAGAAATATTACGAAAGTCCGTCAACCTTGAATTACTATCGAAACCTGCATATGATCTTTCTGTATGGATTTCAGTAACATCATTACAGTTCTTTCTCATTTCTTTGCAGATCACGAGGCTCACGAGTACGGGGAATAGCCTAATGAAAACTATCAGTAAGGACATGGGTTGCCCATGTTTTCGTGTTATTGTTAATATTATGAATTTAACTATTTAAAAAAAAAAGTTGTTGTATGTGTTTTCATGTCTATATTTTCCTCTGTGAATTGCTTTATTTCTTTGCTTTGTTTTATTTTTAAATTAGTTTTTTTTGCTTTGTTTCTGCAATTAATAAATTATTACCACTAACTTCTATATATATACATATGTACTTTTAATTATTCCTAAGTACACATCATGACTTTAACCTTACGTTCCCTACTATCCTCTATTCACTCTAAGGGTTCGCTGGAAGAAAACTCAGGTTGGGGTTAAGATCGCCTTTGTACATGAAATTTCCATGTTCCTTATGTAATATTAATGTGTACAATAAATAACATGAAATAAGTTAAGTCAATAAAAATTTGGGACACAACCACACAACTCAATAAGTTCAAGTTCAAGATTTGTGAATCATCTTAGAAATGTATCTTCTATATTACTTTAAAGTCTTTCTTGTTAAAGTACATACTAACAATAACAGGCAAAGAAACGTCCTTCCTCCGAGCAGTTTTTACCAAACTAGGTTGCGATCGGCTTTATGTGTAAGTCAACTACGATTAGGTACCTGTAACGATTGCAATCGGTCGGTCATAATCTAGTCGAATTTCAACATTATCATTTCAGCATTAGCATTATAAAATTAAAACAAAACGAATTATTTTATTGCAAATTATACACAGGTAGTCAACAGTGGTGTATTTACCAAAAAAATGGTCTAGTGTTGTCGTTGACAATACAAGATTTACTTAACTAATTTAACTTTCTCTTAATTTTACTCTAAAATTATTTATCTATTTGTATGTATATAGTTATCATTAATTTAAATATTTATAATATTCGCGACAATCCAACAAAAAGTTTAGACGGTGGTGAGACGGAGAACCATTTCCTGTTTTCCGTCACATTTTGCTTTTTTTTAAGACTTATTAGGAATAAATCCTGTGTCGTAAGTATTCGCTTTTCGGGGGCCCCGTGAAGAGGCCATGGGCTGTTTGAAGTAAGTATCATTATAATAAATATAAACATTTCATAGGTTAAGACCTTATTATACATATGTACTTTTAATTATTCCTAAGTACACATCATGACTTTAACCTTACCTTTTACCAAACTAGGTTGCGATCGGCTTTATGTGTAAGTCAACTACGATTAGGTACCTGTAACGATTGCAATCGGTCGGTCATAATCTACCTTACCTTTTGATCGAACTTTTATATACCTATCACCAGTTTGAAATGAATTCTGTCCATCTAATGTTGGCCTGTAAGAAATTGCTCTAATCGAAAAAGCATCTCTTTGTAGGTACATTAATTTCGTTGAACCTTTAATTACTTTATAATGTCTATAAAAGGCCTGGTGTACAAATAAAGTACCTATCTATCTAAAATGATATACCTATGTAAAAATCTTTTTTGTTTTATACCTACAAGTAAAGAGCATTTGTCAAGGCCTAAAATAATGCACTCTTAAGTCTCTCCAAATACCTCTGGCACCATTTGTTTTCGAGTAAAGAAACTAACCGAATGATCTACTATACAAGAATGTTCTCAATGTCCTAAAAGTTCACAGAAGGGTGTTGAGTTAGTCGTGTTATTACGAGCTTACTCAGGCATGTTTAGGAACCAACTGAAACTTTTTTTTTGTTCAAATATATATTAACTAAACTACTTCATCTTTTAATAACCAGCTGTATTAATGTTATCCCCAAAATCGACTCAACAGACAATTTTATTCTGCAGGATATGCGAGCCATCATATTATTGGGTACATGGACTCTCTTTTCTTACTGAGAAGGTTACTCAGTAACATTTTCGAATCCAAGATCTACGGTAGACGTCGAAAATTGACCCGTCTAGAAATAATAACATTCCCCAAGAACGTTTTTCTTGCCATTAAAGACACTGTGAAAGATTACAATAGGTATTTTAAGTGTGGCAAGATTGTTTGTTCCTTCTCGTTTTGCGCTGTGTGCGGTGTGACGCTTTTCTATGTAACAATGATAATCATTCCAATATTCAATAAAACAGTTGTGCCCTGTGCCGTACGTATATTATTTCACAAATCATAATAGACACTAGCCAAAACCCTTCGGAATATTACACAGCACACATAACTTTGACTAGAAATGAGATTGGAAAAAACGGCAAAAAAAGATGATGACAGAAAAAGATGCTGAACTATTCAAGTGTCTTATCTCATATTAAACATTTCCTCAGTCGTTTTTTTATTTATTTACTGCAGTCGCTCATTAAAACAGTCTAAGTCATTCCATCACCACTCTCTTGGGTACTATTTTTAAATTTTATTTAAAAAAAACAGTAAAGAAGTGCATGTCACCTTTACTTTGAAGGCAAAATTGATTTGTGAAGTGACGGTCTATTCGGCTAAGAAACCTAAACTAGCTAGTAGGCAGAAGATCACACATCACAATAGAAAATTATGTACTAGTTTACAAAACTGTAATCAAGCCAATCTAGCCAAAAATAAAATCTAAATATAGTGACCCCATAATAGTTCTTTAATAAAGCAATCAAGACTGAAACTAATGGACCTCTATATTTAGAAAAGTTAGTGAATAGCAATGACTAATTACATAAAAATGAAAATGGTTGAGAAATTCACAACTCTACTAGAGAGGGAAGCTCTAAAAGCAACACACGTGGTACTTTGTTCATTGGTAGGTAAATTTCAATTTTACTAATAGAAAGTTTATTCAATGTATTGACGGTGCTCTGCTCTCAATATAACTCCCAAAATTAAGAACTTGTCAAGCCGATTACAAGATTAAAAGTATAAAAAGTTAAAAAAAAAGTAAATCCATAAAAAAAACTGTATTAAGGCAAAATTTCTAATATAATAGTAAAACAACAGCAAAAATAAAAATATGACTGTTATCCTAAAATACCGATATCCAAGATAAAAATAAAAATTGAGCGTTTTGCCTTTTGCATCTGTTGTCAATTGTCACTGTGTAGATTCCATTCCAAAAGTACTCAATTTGTGTGGATGTTTAACTGTTCGAATTTGTGTCGCGAGTTTAATTGATATAATTGTATTTAAAACCTTTAAAAATGTAAGTCTGTTTTATTTTTAACATAAATTAGTTCTGTATTAAATGTAATAAACAAGTAACATAATGTATTTTATAATTTTAGGGCGTCCACTACAAAGCCACGCTCAGAGATGACTTTGGACGAATTATCGAAAATTGAGGAAGAGGAATTTAGTACTGGTCCACTTTCAGTACTTACACAGTCCGTTAAGAATAACACCCAAGTCTTGATAAACTGCCGAAATAATAAAAAGTTATTAGGCCGTGTAAAAGCTTTCGACCGGCATTGCAACATGGTTCTAGAAAACGTAAAAGAAATGTGGACCGAAGTGCCAAGATTAGGCAAAGGCAAAAAGGTAAATTTCATTTTATCATATATTTAAAAACAATGTCTTGGCATGTGAGAAATAGATCCGCGGCTGGAGGATAAGAATTTGTAGGTTATGTGATTTCAAATCCAAAACACATTCAAGCACAAAATCATCATAATTCAGTTTTATAAGATTATAATGATGATATCAAAGTTTGATATGGAAATAATAATTCATAGCTAAGAAAGTTCAAATATGTGTTACACTTAAACTCCCTATATCTTCATACACCATTAGTAAAGGTAGAGTTATGGCACTTAACAGACATTCAAGAGTATTTAGCCTAAACTAATTTATCTAAATGTTATACTGTAAGAAAATATCTTGAGTACTACCTACCTGCTTATATTATTAAAGAGTTTTGTTCTATTCTTATTTTTTCTAATGCTGTAAACAGTGTTTTTACTTGTTGAAGTAGTAAGCTTGACTTGACAATCAAAATAAATCGAAAAAAACAAAGAACTACACACGTTTTTGCTGAATTTTAAAACCACATCACATATAGTTAGTTTTAATGTTAGTTAGTTAAGACTGCCTCAGTAGTACAGTGCTAGCGTATGCAACTGCTGTGCAGAGGTCTCGGGTTCGATTCCCGGGTCAGACCAAATGTTTGTATGATTTGCAAATATTTGTTTTGGAGTTTGGGTGTTTTCTATGTATAATATGTATATCTTATAGTTAGTTAGCTTAGCTTAGTTTAAAACTAGATGGCATTATGTGTCACATATCCAAAATATTATTATTATTACTTATATGACCAGAATGCATTCTACTTGCTGATGCTTATAAATCTTCATTTTTATTTCAGGGTAAAGCTGTAAACAAGGACAGATTCATCTCCAAAATGTTCCTCCGTGGAGACTCAGTGATCTTAGTATTAAGAAACCCTCTCGCCACTGCTGCGGGAAAGTAAATATATCTTAAATATAACTAGTGTGTATGTTCAAGAACATAAAAACTTTTGCATTTAAGTCTAGGTTAAAATCATAAAAAGGATTGCCACACATTTCATTGATTCCATATTTTACTTACTGTTTGATACAATAAAGTAATGAAAGGCCTATTTTCTTTTCTTTTGTACCTTAAAATTACACCATTAAGTATTGGAAATAATTTTACAGTGTGTGCTTTAACAATACACTTCCTTTATAAGCAGGACAGTTGTGTATGTAACAACTTCAGCACAAATCTATACTAATATTATAAGGAGGAAAGATTTGATTATTTTGTTTGTTTGACAACGGGTAGTAAGAATTATCCTTTCGTACTTATCTTTTTCACATAACTTCCAAACGGTTGAACCGATTGGGTTTAAATTTTATATGGGTATTTCGATGGTTTCCTGGATTATTTAAAAATACAATTGGACCAGGTAGGTGGCGCTGCTGTCAGTATGTCAACTACTAAACTCAAGTGTATTTCCATGGTTTCACAGACACGAATGTTTTATGCCTACCTAATCTATCTTTTTATACATATAAATAAAAATGAATGCACGATTGCACCAAATGTCTATTTTTTTAAATGGGTACACAAACCGTGCGAAGCCGGGCCGGGCAGCTAGTCTTACATTAACTAATTGTTTAGTGATTTCATTTTAACACCTAAATAACTTCAAGAAAACTCCTTTTTTTTAATTCACATTCCAAATCTTTAAAATTCTTGGATTTTCTCTACTATATATACATGTATTATACATTTTTTTATCGTTAAAAAGCCTACTCACGCATTAGGAATATATCCTGTGTCGCGTGGGACTTTACAAACAAACATGAAACGGACACAAAGAACACCCAGACTTAGTATAACAATTTGTGGATCACAAAGTGTCGTCATATGTGGGGATCGGGCTCACAACACTCAGCGTAGTGACCGCTTAAACCACTACGCTATCTGTGCAGTATAAACCCCCATCTTGAATCACTCTCTCTATGGTGCACGCCGCATTAAAATCTGTAAAATGCGTAGTTTGAAAGATCTACGCGTACAAGAAAAAAGCGTAAAGATTACGAACAGTTTGACTATGCGATATTTGCAAGACATACTCCGTCTTATTATAAAAACTTTCATAAGTACCAGGTTTAAACCAGAGCTAAAAGGTCTAAGCTTATTACGGTACTAACGTTGGTTCTTTCTAGAGTTGTGTAGCTCCTGAGTGAGTGATATAAAAGATATATATCATTCACGACGATAAAATCTATCACTCACTCACACTAGGGATGTGAGATTAATGGAAAAGAATCGATTAAATAAAAATCGATTTTTCTATATTAAAAATTAATCGATTTGCCAAAAATCGATTTTAATAAAAATAAATAATCGATTTTTTTGTATTATTTAAAAGTATATGCTTTCCACATTCCAATAATAAACCTAAGAGATTCATATTAACTATTTATCAGATTAAAAATAAAATAAAATTTTATGAATAAAAAAATAACCTATTCGAAAAATTTCAAAGTAGGGAATTAGGAAACTAAATAGCATTATTGATACTCATTTTAGTACTATGAAACGTTTTATTTATTATAAAAAAAATGAAATGATGAGAATTTTTTATTTGACTAGTTTTAAAATAAAACACTTAAAATGAGAATTAAAAAACTAAACGACTACTCTTCATCAACAGTCTTTGATAGTCCACTGCTGGACGTAGGCCTCTATTTAGAAAGGAGGTTTTGGCTTTGGTTACTCTATAGTCTCAAAAACTAAACTAAATTACAAATCATTCGTTAATCTTTAAGTTTAAATAATAATTATTGTCACAAATGTCCATGCAGTCCTATTTTACATTTGACTAGTATTAAAATAAATACTTAAAAGGATCATTATCAATCCTGAACAACTACGTTATGGTCTCTAAAACTAAAATAAAAAACAATCTTTCGTTAATCTGCAAGTTTAAACAATAATAAAATTAAAAATAATTATTTCCACAAATGTGCAGTCCTATTTTACATTTGACAAGGATTAAACAATAATAAAATTTAAAATAATTATTACCATAAATTTTCAGGTAAGTAAGCAGTTTAAAAACAATAATTTTTATAGTCTCTTTCCTAAAATACGGTTTCGTGTTTTCCTGACCACATTTCCCGCTTTGGAAAATAATCTTTCGGACGGAGCAGAGATTTTTGATCCAACGCATAGATGGCGCTGTTTTTAAAATTGAAACATACTGCAAGATTTTTTCATTCGTCGCATAGATGCGAGCTGTTTCTGAAAATCGATTTAAACACGTAATTTATATAATCGATTTACTAAAAATCGATTATCATTACTATAAAAATCGAGAATAAAAAATCGATTATAAGAAAATAATAATCGATTTCAATAAAAATCGATTATTTTTTAACATCCCTACTACAAGTGTCAAGTACCTAAAGGCACAGTTCTTTGGGCACAGTATTCTTTGTGGTGAGCACAGTGGTGAGATCATTTGTGCATTAAATCTTTAAGAAAATGGAACACGCAAAGAAAAAATGGGGTGAAAATTGGAGTTCAGAAGAAAAGGTGAGTGATAATAAGTGATAGGTAACTGACATGTTAGATTACGTACCTACACACAGTATTTGATGAAATAAACTATATATACTATATATAACTAGCGGCACGTAAGTCTAGCGCTGAGCGGAACGTGGAAGGGATAGCCGCGCATGGGTACTATCGCGCACGCAAATATTAACTTTAGTAAATAGTTAATGTTATAGAGTGTAACTTCTGAAAGTTGTTCACGTGCCAGAGTCGTCAAATTTGAATTTCTTTATTTTCTCAACAATAGGTACAAAAGGTAAGTAAGTAATCATACTATATAACATTATAAATGTGAATGTAAGTTTGTTTGTTACGCTTTCACGTGAAAACTACTTAACCGATCATCATGAAACTTTGTACACATATTCTTGGAGGTTTTAGAAGTAACATATGATACTTTTTATTAAAATAATATTTTTTACGAAAGATGATGAAAAATGAAAAATGATGCTTGATTTGTCGCATTAAATACCACAACAATTAACGCAGTCCTTTCCCTACCACAACATACGACTGTAACGTTAAATAATTTTAAAACGCTTTTTTTATGTCTTCTGTTCCCAGCTGCAACCTGCATTGTTTTTAAATGAGTATTGTATTTATTGCAACAAAAATTAACAGCGATAACAATATAACTCAGAACGCGACTGTACTCTGGAAGCACGCGGCGTGTCGTATCGGTGCGAGGGACGTAATGCGACTGGAGAGCCAATCGGCGCTACGCACGCCCGCTCTTCGTCCCTCTTACCCCACAAGATACCTGATTTTTGACTTCTGCGCAGTAACTGTCACCGCTAGAGTTTCGTGCCGCTACTTATACCTATGCCACATTACTTACATTAATACAAATTTCATTCTAGAATATACTGCGTCAACTTATTGCCGAGTCGGCTAAAATACTTGAAGATAAGTCGACGAAAACAAACATAAATATGTTAAAAACACGAGAATGGAAAAATGTAGCAAATAAGTAAATACTTAATTTTTTTTTGCTATATTACGATATCGTGACCATGATATTTAAATTAACATGATTTTTTTTCAGACTAAATGAAATCGCCGGAAAAAATCGTTCTGTAGAAGAGATAAAGTTGGCTTGGAAGAGAATGAAGTTGGCAGCCAAGGCAAACTTGTCTCTTCACAGGAAATATCAAAATTAAAAATTAAAAAGCTACAATTACAAATAGCACTATTGGAGACTCAGATAAAAACTAACACCATTACTAAAGAATAAAATGTAAGTTACACTTTTTGACTGATATCAATACAATTTATAATTAAAATAAGTATAAATTGTTCAGTCAAGAGTTTCAAATAAATAACTAATGTAATCTATCTCTTACTGATTAAAATACTTCAAATATATTGACAATCACATAATAATATAACATAATTATTTTCAGGTACCCCCTTCTGGTTATATATTCCCCATAATAATTATTAGTATTATAGGACTGATTTTAGCATTTTCTTAAAGATAATAGTTACTTTTAATTTATGTTTGATTTATTAATAATTATCTTTATGAAAAAAGGATCAGTAGCTTTTATTTTAGCCTTCATATAATATATGTATTAAACATATACATACATGAATATCACAAAAAAGAAATATAGTTATATATAATAAATGTTATTTTATGAAAAGTGAGTTTCAATAAACTGCCTTCTTCTAATATTCCCTCGTAGTGAATTTTGAACTGGCTGCACTGGTATTGAATCCCTAGAGGATTGCTCATTGCTGACATCATCAGGAAATAAATCTTCCTGCATGTCTATCGCTATGTTGTGAAGAACTGCACATGCTACAATTGTCTTCCTAGCTGTTTCAATGTCCCCATATAAGCCTCTTAGTAGGCAGCGGAAACGTTGCTTTCACAGACCAAAGCATCTTTCCACAGTGTTCCGTGTACGGATATGGCTCCTGTTATACCTTTGTTCTGCTTCTGTTCTTGGGTTCAGCAGTGGGGTAAACAAGTATGGCGTACACGGATATCCACTGTCTCCTAAGAGGATGCCAGAAAACGCTCCAGATTCAAATCTTTGCTTCAAGCGACACTCCCTAAAGATTCTAGAATCATGGACACTGCCACGCCACCGAGCTACAACATCCATGATTTTTAAATCAGCATTGCAAACCACCTGAAAGGAGAATTTTTACAGTTTTACAGTGCATTACATTACCAACAAGTAAATAAAAAAATAAGCTTTGTTTGTATCCATTATAAATAAAAAAAATCAAAGTTACCTGCACATTGATTGATGGAAAACCTTTTCTGTTAATGTATGTCTGACCCTCATCAGTTCTTATTTTTTTAATATGAATATGGGTGCAATCAATTGCACCTATTACAGTTGGGAAATTCGCAATACTGCGAAATTTCCTCATCACTGCTTCTTGTTCATCCAATGTACTAGGCATTTTTATAAACCTATGCGACATACGCGCTAAAATTCCTGCCACTTTCTTGCAGGTGTTACTTATAACTGGCTGAGATATGGCATGTAAGTCACTAGTATCGTCTTGAATCTGTAAAAAAAAAACAATTATAAAGTAATACATCATTGATGACGCACATTAGCCATAATTACATTACAAGGTACCAACTACCGCCACCGCCAAAACGTTTACTAAATCTATATTACCGAAAATCTTCATCAGGTAATTCAAATGGATTTCGACGCTGACGAACTCTGTTCGGTCCCCGGGAACTTTCTAGTATATCCAACACATTCAAATCTTCCAAATCAAACATATCAATTGCATCAATATCCATTTTTGGTTTTCTGATCATAAATTCCTTTCCGAAAGCGAACCTCAAAATTAAGAATTTGAAGTTTGACAATTTAGTACCATAGTTAAACTAGGGGTCACGATGGTCTAACTTTGATACCATAGATAGTTCTAGGACTAGCGATAAACATCTTTTTGTAATAACGTTTATTCAAGGTCATGGTTTAAACCTAGTACTAAAGCCGGTACTTTTTTAAGTCCACGTTTTATAATAAGACGGATTAGGTTTAACACTCACTAGCCTATTCACTAATTACAGGTGAAACAGACTTTAGGGTTGGGTTGTGAACAGTTAGGTGATCATATGGACTAAGTCAGATGTGGGATATACACAGTAATAAACGGCATGTTTAATCAAATATTTTTATTTATCTTCTTTTTGTAATAATAAGAAAAATGAAGTATTCATCTAGCTTTAGGTACTAATTTCGATATAATTAATAATCAATAGTTATAATTCACAGTCTTGGAATAAAAATAAAGGCTAATTTTATTACTAGACATTGCGATTTTCTTTTAAAATTGCTTTTGACCTCATTGCATTACATAAATTTCAAGGTGAACAAGCATAGAGGCCTCGCAGTTAGCGTATAATCAGCGCCACCGTATTTCTGTGAGCTTATATTACATGACGTAACGTCAGCTTACTGAAATTACGCCTCTACATACACATTTCTTTGGTTATATTTACAATATTTATGTACTTCACATTCGAAAACTTATGTATAAGATCACAACTATGTTACGAAAATAGATGCCGTGGTTTTATAACATACAAATATCAGTTGTAAACTTCAGAGGGAATAAAATTGCAAATAATTTTTAGAATGAGCTTCATAATTCAAAGCATCTGTTGTTTGCAAGAATTTTGTTGCTTAAGATAATTTATTGGGTTTGCATAAAATGTGGGTATAATTGCAGCTAAATTACTTACGCTCTGTCTCGGGATATTTAACAAACAGTACTTCAAAAAACACATTTCCAACATTCCAATTTTCAAAATCAGTGCACTAGAATAAAAATGTAAAAACTTTTTTTTAAGATTGTAGTTAAGTAGAAAGATGTACAAATATATGAGAATAATATTGTTAAGTAGGGAGTAATAGATAGCTTAGGCACACAAAAGATGAGATAGATTTACTATAGTCCATTTGCGTTATGAAATTAGTGACGATTAAGCCCCACCCCTTGACCAATCAGATTACAAGAAATAATCGTTTCGTACGAAAGCTTGGATCATTGTGCGGGGCTTGATCGATGCGTCACTATTTTCTTAACACGAATGGACTATACCAATTAACATTATTAAGTTAAAATCGAACTAGGCTAATTAGTCCAGTTTCAGTATCTTTATAAAAAGCATATCTGTTTCTATATCTATTTGTTTGGTATTTAATTTATGTTCTTAAATTGCAATTAGGAAGCTTAAGTATAATATACGTTGCGTTCTAAATATTTTTGCAGTGTTTCGGAGGGAAATTTTTCTATCATAAAATTTTATATGAATATTTTAATCACACAAAAATAATACATATAAATGTACTTTCTATAAACTTTTCTTCTTTCCATATTTTATTTGTTATGTTTACCTGAGACTAAGTTCGTTTTACAAACGAAATACACATTATTAGGAATCCAATCTCGCAAAGTATTCGTAGAGGTTACTTTGTGATATACAGCACCATACATTTTGTACCAAGCCGCGGCAATGTTTTATATATGGACGACACTATTACTTCCAAAGCGGCTATTATTTTATAAATTATTCCATTATCCTGATTAAAGCATGTTTGACGGGTCCAAAGACAAATTTCGTTAACAATGTTCTCATTATTAAAAAAGAAAAGAAAATCCAAGAAACTATTTCGGTATTATTAATTTGATATACATATATATAGCTTGTATACAAAAGAGTCTCAGAGTAAATAAATATAACTGTTATCAAAATACACAATACACAGCTCATGTATATACAATCCATATTATTTTTTAAACCTTAAATTGAATGAAGAACAAACGTCAACAGACTACATAAACTAGATGATTAATTAGTGGTTTTTAATCTGTACATCTATTATTATCATTGCCTAAAAACTTGTCTCTGGACAAGTCTTGTACACAATACCAAAAAATTACTTTGTTTAATTATTATAAAAATATTATTCCTATTATTTCACAGTAAGCATGTCTGTTCGCTGTAGCACCATTTATTATGTGGAATAAAGAACATACACATATATAATATAAATTATTGTAAAGCATCAACACTCAAACCTAACACAGTAAAATATCAGCTTTATCATGTTAGTGGTAAGTCTAAATAACATCTGTAATTTCGTAGAAATTACACAACTACTTTTATTTTTGCTTAACATGTTACTTTTTTACTGTCAGAGGCACCGAAAAGGAAACATGTTACCTTTCATGCAAAAACTAAAACGGTTACTGTTAATTTCTTATCTCGAATTCTTCAATATAAATACAATTATTTAGATATTACCAGTATTATGTAAAGACACTGTCTCTATAAATCTCAAACATTATACGTCTTTATAAAAATACAAATTAAGCATTATGTACCATAAGACACTTCACATTTTATATTCACTAACTTTAAGGAATAAAACATTATCTAATAATATATACAGAGATCTCTTAAACTACATCTAATCATCCTGGTTGTGAGGAGAATTATTCTGTACATAATGTGTGTTCGAGCACGTTACATAATATAACATTATGGCTGTACAGAATCACGGTCTGCAGACTTTTGAGGCCCAATAGACTCGTCGTAATGTAAAGTCTGCAGACACATTTTACATCCGAGTTCATCATACCGAGCTAATTCTATACAAGTGTCAAGAAATATACTCTACAGTTATGTACAGATATTTCTAACCGTCAAAATTGCGTATCTTTACAAAATATGAACACTTTCGTTTACAGTCTACGTTTGTAATGAAAAAAGCTGCTTTAATAAAAATAATTTCTTTTCCATTCCAATAATATCACTTTCATTTTTTAAATGGGTAACTTTGAAACCAGTTGATTTTATCGCTCAGCGACTTGCACAGAATTACATAGGTAAATCAGAAAGTCACCCACTTCAAATCTAACTTTGACAGGTTAAATATTTGCTTATTTTAAAAAAGCTGCTCAGTCTAATCAGCCAATATCAAATCAAAATGCGTTATCACGTATCGTTGCATAAAAATGCTTCGGTAAAAATCTGATCCAATCTGAACCAATTATGATACAATCTTTGTTAATATATCGAGTCTATGCAATGGCCGTTTAAATATAATTACAGACTAGATAACTCAATTTCATCGTGCGCCACAAATTCATTCGATTTCGTTTATTAATGTTGTCGAAACGTCAGAATCAATCTACAAGTATCTTAGTATTCTATCGTATATAAATCGAATGAATATGCAGAATCATAAAGAAAGCCGCTTATTTTTTTGCAACTGTAATTTCTTTGCCTAACGACTTTCTATTTTCGAATTTCTGCTGTAAACTGGCAACATTCGACGGCTTGGCCGTTAGTCTCGTCTGGATCGGTTTATTATTATCTGTTTTTTGTGCAGAAGAAGGCTTCGGGACTACTTTTGGTTTATTCTTGTTTAAATTATCCGCTATTGTCTTAACATCTACATCAGGTCGGTTCGTGGGAGGAGTTTGTCCAGTTTGTCCTTTATTGACGTTCGAGTTCGGATTAGTTGGCTTTCGAGTTGACGGAGTTTTACTTATAGTTTTCTTATCGATTGTTGGTGCAGGCCTCAATGGCGGTCGGTTGTCATTCGGTTTAGCGGTAACTGATGGTTTCGTCGCTACCTTGGGTGCCTCACTTAACACCTTATTATTATTGATAACATCGGGAGGTTTCACATTTTTTACCTCCGGCATTGTGCAGCTAGAAACAACATCCGGGCTATTTGATATTTTTGGTGTTATATTTTTAGTTATTTTAGGTGACTGAGGAACGTTTCTGAACGTTGAAGTATTACGAAGTCCTGGTGGAGTTACCTGTCTTGAAAATGTAGGTATTTTTGAATTCGGACCTGGAAGAGGTGGAGCTTTGTCCTCTTCCTTACTTTGATCTGATTTTAAGAAAGTTGGTACATTCACGGCCGAAGGATGCAAATAACCGCTGCTTGTGGTCGAAGCAGTGGACTTTGCTCCGGAATTGCTGTAAACGCTCTCTGGCGTCTTGTATTCTGAGTTCATGTAAGTACTGTCTCTGTAACTCTCTCCATTTTTTTCTCTTTCCTTTCGTTCCCTCTCTTTTCGTTCTTTCTCTTTCTTCCTAGAAAGCGTAGATGCAGAATAAATAGATTCGAAGTTGCGATTCTGTATTTCGTTGACAATCTCTCCCAGTAGGCCCATATTTTCTGAGCTTCCGGAATTAGAAGCGATAGGTTTGGGAGTGTTATACCCCTCAGGGGGTGACTGAGGTATTGTTTTCATAGGAGGTGGAACTCCTGGCAATGGTTTAGATTGTTTCTCCGGGCTCTCTTCTATGACCGCGTAGATATTATCAGATGATTCTTCGGCGATATGTGCGAGGGGCGCTTGTTTCTCTTCAATGCAGTCCACGTAATCAACCGACTTACTTTCCATGTGTGGTTTTGGCATATTAGATGGAGTGGGTTCTGAATTACTTGGTAGGGGAGGAGGAGGCGCGGTGGGCCGTCCTATTCCAGATAAAGGTCTCGGTGCCACTGGTGCTTGGCGCATAGATCCAAAGCTTTGTAAAACTGGTTTTTGAGATGCTGGTGCTCTCATACTCTGAGCTCTATTAACAAAAGCCTTAGGGTCATCTCCATCTTCAGAGTCAGAAACAACAGATACCGTATTTACTGGAAGATCAATTTCTTTTTGAAGAATAGGGTTTGATATCTGTAAGTTTCTAAACGCAACCTTATCCACTTTGGGTGCTCTAATTTGGTGATTTGGGTTCTTTGGTAGTGAATGACTCCTTTCAACTGGGTTACGTTCTTTTTCTTTCGGCTTTTCCTGCTTCAGAAAAGATGCTATACGGTTTAATGAGATCCCTTCTCTGACCTTCTTAGGTTCTTCTGGAAGAGGTTTTTGGGGAACACCTGTTGAGTGCATGCTTAACGGCCTCTTTAAAGAGTTGGGAGAAGAGGGAATTGTAGGTGCCGTTCTAATAGGTCCTAAAGTTTTTGAACCCTGAAGAGGCGAAATAAGTTCTTTTGCCGTGCATGTGGAAGCTTCTAGAATCGGGCTAGATATTACAGGCCTAGGTGGTGGATTTGCAACAACTGGGGGAGATGTTTCTTCAGCTTTCTCAGTGGATATTAACGCTTTTATTTTGTTTTGAACGGAGCTATTAGTTCGTTTTACGGATGGGCTCGTTTTTGGACTTGATTTCGTTGTCGAAGGTACTACGGGTAGTGGGGGAGCGCTTCTCAACACAGGTTTTAGGACACCTTGGGAGATAATATTTTGGCTATTACTGCCACTTCTGTGCACTGGAGTAATTTTTGCACTTTTACTGGCAATAACGTCCGAAATATTTTTCTTGGTGTTATTGGCTATTGGAATTTCATTATTTTCTTTTTCTTCAGCTTGAGATTTTTCTATAGGAGTAAGAGAGAACCCTTTAAAATTGCCGAAGAAATTTACAGAAGGGTTTATGTTCCCTGGAGGACTTCGGTCTGAATCACTTCGGAGCAAACTGGAACTCATATCATCAGGGTTCGAGACGGTGTGGACGTTGATGGGTTGAGTGTTACTTTGTGGGTTACTCTGGAAATTAGCAGCAAACTTGCTGGCACTTCTGGATATGCGATGTTGCAGACTTGCTTTCTTCGGCGATGGTGCACTGTAAACAAACAATATTTTGAGTCTTGATAAACGAATGCATTACATTTTTCCAACGTGCAGTATTGCTATATCTATTAAAATGATTTTCTGATGAATATTTGGATGGGACCTTTGTTTGAATAACTATAGTTCAACACTAGTTACCTGATACGTGTTTGTAGAGGCAGCGTGTATAAATACCAAAGCATGTTATCTACTCGTCTTCAGGAGCGATAGGATTTAATTACGCAGAGTATTTCCTACAGATAACGACGCTACTCTCTGTTCGGAATACACTCCGGCGATTTACTGTGGAGGTACGTTTACTAAAGACAAATTTATTCCGTACAATTCCTAAATTGGCATAGAAAGAATGAATGCCAAAGATTTTGGTGCGCCAGACTGTATTTGTTTTAGACATATTATTATTTTATTTTAAAGATACATCTACGGTGGTTAAGTTTCTTTGTTAAAAAGATATCTTTTTTAAAAAGAAAACTTCAATGCTTAGATCTAATTTACATTCCCAGAAGCTCAGCGTAGACTATGAAAGCCATGCAATAGACGAAAGCAACTATTATTTGCGTACCAGAAACATGCGTATTTATAAGTAGTACTAGAGCACACGTAATATTTAAACTAGGACTGTCATCATCAACAGCCTCTAATAGTCCACTGCTGGACACAGACCTCTCCTTAGAGGAGAGGAGGTTTCGGCTTAATATACCACGCTGGCTAGACGGGTTGGTATAGGGTTAGTTTCAAGTTTTCCTTCTTTTCCTAAACTACGACTACAAAGTTATATAATCACGAACATGTAACACAAATTTAGACAAATTTATTGCTTTTTAAACAAAAACGACAATTATTGCTTAACTGCTGCAATAAGTCTTTAGCCTATTTCTTCTTACTATAATTTTATTGTAAAAAAAAATCTGAAGAATCCAGTTGATGACATCAGCCTTGTCCCGTATTGGGTGTGGATATGTAATGTGCTTCTGTCTACGGGTCTTCTTGAGATATAGACATGATGAGTTTCAATGCACCAATTAAGCGTTAATGCAACAATTTCACCATATTAGGCTTTTTGCGGCCATATGTAGTATGCAGAGCAGGTTGGATGTAATAAAGTTATTTCGAATGACCGTAAATTAAAAAATATTAATTGATAGTTAATGTTTAAAGTACCTACGTGTGCTGTAGTACTCAGTATTAGTAAAAGCAAAATACCAGTGCAAAAACACTCACCAAACCAACCAAACAGTTATGAAGAAATAACCTATGAAAGATTAACGGTTATTGGTCCTGCAATTCATGAATTCACAATCATATAGCTCTTTGCATAATGTGACTATGTATGTAACATTTTGAAGATGTACTGACATTTCGAATAGCTACTTTAATTCTATACTAATATAATAGATACTAAGTATAATAAAATAAACTAATTTTCTTATTTAACCATGCTTATCTATGGCACGATCAGTCTAAATCAAATAATTATTTCTGCATTTGGAAGGCAAGTTCTTGAATAAAGTTATAGGCATCCTGATACGGCTCTTAGAAATGCAGTTAGTGTGTGACTATAAATGCTAGTGAAATGCTATTCATACACATATATACATTCTTATGAATTGCAGGAACATAAGAAACAAAGAAAATGAGAAAATACAGGTTTTATTAAAGAATACACAAAAATAACTACAATAATACTACGTTTACATACAAAAACTAAGTTTAAATTAAATTTAAGCAAATTATATAGAAAACAATTGAACATTTAGTATAAGAAGAAAAAATTAAGTAAGTTTCTTTTTAGTATAACCAAGCATTCTGTCAGTGTAAAATATTAACCAGTTAAAAGAAGTGAATTAAAGATGGATGAAGAAACCTATATTTTTAGACAAACAAATCATAATCATTATTATAAAGGCTAATCATAAGTTATTTAATTCCCTGTTATGAACACTTTGTACAATACAATGTTATTTTTGACTATGGCAAAAGACATTACAGGATGCTAAGAAGACGATGATAAATGTGAATGCAGTGAATTTTTATTATGATGAGAAATTGGCAATTGAACCCCCCGGGGGGGGGGGGGAGTGGAGACTTCATAAAACCAAAAGAGTGTATCAAAGTTACTATCTTTCACAGACCATAAACGACTCTAAACACAACTTTGGCCATACGTAGTATATTGTAGACAATAGTTAAAATGAAGTTGAAGTAACTTTTTCTTTTTTGATAGTCACTTTAAAATTATTGCTTTTGTAGATTATTTGAAACAACAGATTGTAGCTATTTTGTGTGTTGATCTGTGACTTGAGAGTCATTACGTATGACACGACTTCAAATAATTTGAAAAGGATTCTATGAAATAAAGATACTTGGACATTAACTAAAAGGTTATGCGCGTATAACTCGTCCGGTAGTAAGGTTGTTGTTGGACCTTTAAGATTATAAAATTAGCTTATTAGGGTTGCGTATAGGGGAAATAATATTGTGTAATTTCTTTTGTCATAGACATTTAATCTAAACATGTAAACAACACTTAAAAAAATGGTATCCAATAAATTTTAGTTGACTATTTTTTAATATCCAATAAATAAAAACTTTTTAGAACATATACAATGGCCAATATATCACAGTTTTAAATTATAATCAGACTTCTATTTTAATTTTGCTGCAATGTAGCTGTCTGTTTTGACAATTAAGTACGTTTTTACTTTTGTTCTTGTCTAATAAACTTCAAAGTACGTAATGGGCGTTGGCCCGTTTTTGAGCAATTTAATATGTATTATATTCTACAAATTAATATTAGTAAAATAAGGTAAATTAAAATTTAATTACGTACTAAGCTACAATTTAAGAAGATATAATACTAACTAAATAACTACTGTAAAATTAATCTTCCTAGACAGAGACTAGAACCTATAATAGACATCAGACTTAAGATTTTTAATCTCTCTGTCTTTACGTATATAGAACGTACAAGTATGACAAGAATCCATTAGTATCCATTAACTCAAAGCGAGTGTAAGATAAAAAAGAAAATTGCTCTGAGTGCATATTAAGTATTTTTTCTAATTATTTTTTTTTTGATTAGATTTTTTTTTAAATTAAAGTTTGGATATTTAACTGGCTTTAATGAAGAAATATAAGTGTCAATATTTTTATGATGTAAAAATTAATAAGAAATATATATGAAACTACAGTCCATGGTCCTCAAGCGTTACAATTAAAAATACACAACTACTCAAGTGTTACTTTTTAAATACATGCACTTTTATGTTTTGCCCCGATACATTATTATACAAGCCACTACTTCTAATATTATACATACGGTGTTGATCATTTGTGACCATTTCATTCGTCGTAGATTCCAAACCTTTAAGTATTACCACATTAGGTTTATTATTCGATGACAAATTATTCCCACTCGGCTTTGGTTTGACAGGCGGTTTCAACTTGAAATCGCTATTTGCTATTTGAATATCGTCTTTATTTATTTTTCTGGCTGGTTTTGTAAGTGGGGCTTTCTTTTGATTTTTATTAGGTGAATTAACGAATTTGTATGGAGTTTTTTTAGTGGGTTTTATCTCTTCTATGGTAGCGTATATAGGAGAGTCCGGTGAGGGTGGGTCGGTGTATATACTAGGGTTGACGGAATCGTTTCTTTTAAAGCTAAGTAACTTTCTTAAAGAGTTGGTACTGGTTTGGAATCTAGCGAATTTCTCTGAGAATCTTGTGTTAGAGTTGGAACAGCTACAACACCCACAGCATAGGAGTATGTTTACGTACGATTTGCGCGGCTTCTTCCACCAGAGCAGCACGTTGTGGCGCGAGTAGTAGATGAGGAACAGGATCAACAGTATCGAAGGTATGATACCCAGGAATATCACATACATCGCCACCATGAAGTTTCGTTGGACTGTATGGAAAAAGAACACAGTTTTGTATCCAATACAGGTAACATGAAAAATTATTGTAGTTCAAAGATAAAAACTATTTTTACTTATTTCTTATTTTTAGGTAGTTATCGACAATACCAAGAGTTATCTTTTCCGCCGACGGTTTGTTTTATTGTTCCGTACGATCGATTTACGACCTCCCAAATCCCAAATTTTTATTACCCAATCACGTTCTAAATACTAAACTGATTTGGATGAAACTTGACCTATAGACAGACTGTCATTGATGATTTCATTGGCTTTCAAGTCATATTATATATATTATATGAATGCTTTAGTAGCTGCAGTAGATACTTACTGGTGGGATCGGTGGCTGGTCCGGAGTCGTACGAGCCGCCCGGGCCCGGCAGAGCGCATACTGGAGGAGCGAAGCCCGGCTCGCAATGACAATGTCCTGATAATAAAGAGAATCATGTCATCATCAAGTAGGAACACTAATGAAAAAGGATGCATAGTTCAATAGTATACAATAAATATGAACGTTGTTAATCCCTATAAGTAAATATTTATCACTGTGAAATGGTGTCGAAAAATGAAAATTTTTAAAAGATCGCTGACAAATTAATGTTAGGTATCTTTTGAAATAGTGCATATGAATTATGAACTAAAATTAATATTTCAAGTTCGTTAAAAGTCAAATAAATATGGATTTACTATTACCTGCTGAATTGCATACGCCATGTCCAGAACAGTTAGAGGGGCAGACAGAAGTGTCTTCTTTCGCGATTTGTTCTCTGAGGTACGCTACTGGCACACATCGTTGACTCAAACACATCTGGTATTATTAAAAGTGCTGTTTTAAGTTTGATAAAAGAATATACGGAGCACGACTGGCGTAACATACGTATAGAAACCGCTTCTGCAGTTTCATTTTAAATGAGATGAATTTAGTTCTATTACCATGATTGATTGATGAGTTTGGTAGCGATTAAATTACGGAAAAATATGTTTAATGCCATCTATCGAAGACACATCGAACTACGGAAAAACTACTAATCCTGCATCGCTCTATGAAAGTTCTCGCACCGATTTATATGTAACACTTCCTAATATCAACTTTTGGGTCGTAGTCCTCTAGGCATTATCACCTCACCTGGTCAAAGGACCTATCTTTGAAGTGGATGCCTTCCCGTAACACCCTTTACTTCACAGTTCAGCCTGTATCGTGAAAAGCTTGTTTTTCTTCAAAAATAGGGAAATGAAAAACACATTCAATTCTTTATGAAGTACGAACTTTGAAGCATCTCTAGTATATTATGTTATTGAAGAATCAATCTTTGAAATAAGCAAATATATATCTTACCATTTCATCGCCGCATTTGGCACCATCTGGCACCAAACCTGGATCCACATCATTTAATCCCAGATCAATGATGGCAGTGCGACATGGTATGATAGTGCCTAGAAAAATAGAAGACAATAATAATATGTAAATTTTTTCTTCATATTTTTTATTTTTTTGCAATGGACACGGACTTGTCGCAACATCGCAACAAGACTGAGGGAACACATATGTTGTATGTAGAATATCTATTATAAAGGCAAGTGAACTCGTCTGCAAGACGGACACGGCCCACTATATTTGATAAGTATATAATACACATAATATCTAAATAAGTCTCGTCTAATCGAGACAAAGTATGATGACACATTTCTATCGGAGCAATTGTGATGTTTTTTGCAGTGCCTTACAACCCAACTTGCAATAGAAACGTATACATCGGCTTTCGCGCACTCCCTAAATGATAAATAAAGACTGTAGCGTCTTTATGCCAGAAGTTCGTGCACTGAACTGTCAGTGCAACGACTTGCACCAACAAGGCAGGTCGCTTCACTCTTATATAAAGTTCCCCTTTGGACTCGAACTAGTCGGGGCAACCAAAGAATACACGGTCCACTTTTGGCCACAGGACTCTCTCAATATTTAAAAGTAACATATATAATTTTATATTTTTGAATAAAGCTGAGAGCGTAACATATTTATACGCGAGCTGCCGTTAGTTCGTTCAGTAGACGAGTCAAACGACACGTTCAAGACAGTAGTAGGTGATCCGGTACCGTTGTCGTTGATGAAGACGGCGGAGAGGAAGGCGGCGGACTCCATGCCGAACTCGAGGCGCTCGTTGAGGTGTCGGCACTGCAGCGTGCCGCACAGCGCGTCGCGCGGGGCGCACGGCTCGAAGCGCTGCTTGTGCCGGTCGTAGCCGCAGTTGCCCGTCCTGACACACACAACGCTGATCAATATCTACTTTACAGAACACGTAACTTGCCCACAGACAGCATATCGTCATGATCATACAACGATGTCGGGTTTGATAAAATTACCAAATTCTGTTTTTAACAAATTTGAAAAAAATTATATGTATTTTATATTTTAAATTATTCAGTGTTTCTTTGATTCCGTCAAAGTAAAATAAAGCATGTGAATTTTCTAGGAAATTGTGTTATTTTTAATTGTTATTTTTTTTGCATTTTAAAACAAACCCTATTTTTCTTATGCCAATTTTCATAATTACAGATTTAGATTAAAAAAAAGTTATGTCAAAAAATAACATAATTATTTGAAATGGCTGCCTTGTAAAGTTCAATAAAAGTCAGATCCGACATGAAATGCAATTATACTTCTGTAAAATGTAATTAAAATGTTTCACCTTAAGCAGAACTTTTACCTTGCCTGTCTATTTTTTTTTTATTTTTTTTAAAAGACAACGCCCGCATTAGGAATAAATCCTGTGTCGCGGGGGACTTTACAAACATACATGAAACGGACACAAAGAACATCCAGACTCAGAACAACAATTTGTGGATCACACAAAGTGTCGTCCCATGTGGGGTTTGAACCCACAACACTCGGCGTAGTAGGAAGCGGCGTGGCGACCGCTTAAACCACTACGCCATCCGTGCAGTCAATATTGCAATTCATGTTTATCTTACGGTCTTGCCATTATATTAAATTAAATATGAGTTGTACATTATCTTACATCACTCAATTTTCTTCAGGTATTGTAGCTCTAATGTTAATATCATAGTAAATACTCACTTGTCTCCTTTAACATTGGTGTTGAAATAACACTTATTGTGGCTGGACTCGCCAGTCGTACCCCACAGCAGGCGACACTGGTCTGTGTGCGAGCGGCACCCACCTCGTACGCAGTAAGCAGTCTGGTCACAAAATGTTTAGTACAATGTAAGTAAACAAGCAAAGAAAATACATATTTCACCTCCTTATATTCTAGTTTGTTTGATGAATTATATTGCACGTATGCGGAATTTATTAAACTCTTTTACTCATTGTGAAAAAAAAACATGAATTTTCCGGCAAAAATTCCAATGATTTTCGACTCAGAATAATGGTCTGAATACACTATTTCAGTATTCGTTACGACGTCCCTTACACCCTGTATATTTATAATTATAAATGTAAATTTATTTTAGTTTTATTTGTTTATTGATAAAAAAAATATATTTATAACCATTGAATACAACTGTAACCTAAGACTAAGAGACTAAGACCACCGATGTACATTAGTGCATAAAGATGTAAAATAAAATAAAAATGTCGGACTGAAGAACTGGATTGTAAAATTAAACATTGTTCGTATGTATAGATAGTTCAACTCAGTTGTGCGCGCGGCCCTATGTGTGCGTGGGCGTGTGTGTGTGTGTGAGTGACGCGGCAGTCGGAAGACGACTGCCACACGAATGAAAGTTGTATATTTACAAGCCCACGCACACATAGGGCCGCGCGCACAACTGAGTTGAACTATCTATATCTTGTTTGAATGTTTTAAGAACGTATAATATCCACAAATAACAAATTTTTAAGATCTTTAATTAAAAGGAGGCTCATTTATAAACTACAAAATATGTCTATAAAAGATATTTGAGATTATTCGAGTGCCTTTCTCTAAGATATCCAACTAGTTTCAAGACCTTTATCTAGGGGCAAAGCGACTTATCGCGTCATGTAAGGTGGAGCACTTTAGAGTGTGAGCATCTTTGGGCCCTAAAACTATTCGGGTATTCCCGTTAATATATAGGTAAGGAAAACAATATAGCCTTGATTAAATTTGAATATAGTTTAGATAAAATAAAATTTAGGGTAGGTATATGTTTTACCTGGCCTCCTTTCCCACAAGGTGTGGTGTCCATCTTATACACGTCATCGGGACAATATTCGGAGTGTCCTGTGCAATACTCCGGCAAGTCACATTCACGGTCAGCGGAACGACAAAGCGTGCCTGCTGACTTCGGACGGCACGTCTGTAAAGATATTAAATAAAATTATATGTGGATCAAATTGAATCACAATTTTTTCTAATATTATATGATGCACTTTATTCCTAGACAATTTGCAAAATATGATAGTAATGTATTCAATAGTTTAGAAACAACTTTCTTGTTTTCAAAATCTGCAAAATCATGTGTAAATAAAGCCAATATCCTCAGCAATCAGCTGTATATGGGTAATATCACACGTTGCCGCTTTTACAAGACTCGAATGAACGAAATAGGTTGATGAATACGGCATCAGGATAAAAGACACGTGTATTCAATTGGTTCAATTCGGTCGGTCGCCGCTAATCGCTGTAGGTACGTGTTGTGCTGTCTGCTTAGATGCGCACACGACGAATAATCGTAATAATAAATATTTTAGGGTAGAATGAATAACGAGGAATCACTACGCATCATTTTCTGCTTCTTATATTTTTCCGTGATTGTAAGTTTACCTGTAGATCGCAGCACATGCCGGCGGCGCAGGAAGCGTTGGAGCGCAGCATGCAGGTGCTGGGGTCGCAGCACGCCAGGCACGCGCTGTACGCGCCCGCCACGGCCGGCGTGCCGCAGTCGCACTGCTCGCCCGGCTCCACGAAACCGTTGCCGCACGTCGGCGAATCGAATAGACGCTTCGGTTTGTTTCTACAAACGATATTAGAACAAACATTTAAACATGAATCAAGTAAGTGATCAAACAAGTCATAAAAGAGTCTGCAGTGACTGTCTATATATAATTCATATAAATACACTTAAACATACTAACTAGCTCAGATAATAGAAAAAACAATTGTCAGGAATATAAATAACAGTAAATTTAAACAAAACTAAAACTTCCCAAAGCAAACTTTATAAACATGGAGTTTATGTAGAGTTGGAACAAGTTTGGATTACAAAAAGTTTTCATCCCTGGGAATCGAACTCACAATACACGACATTGCGCAATTATAACCGCTGCCGTGTCCATGCAATCTAGTCTATGCATTTAACCCCTTAATAAATTATACTCTTTGGTAAATACTTATTTCGCAATACTACAACAACTTACAACAGTTAAATGCATCACCAAACGACTCACACACAATTAAAATTTAGTCAGGGCCACTTTAGTTACTATTGCATTAATAAAGCAATTATCGACAATTTTAATTCCCTCTGCAAGTAGATGTAACACAACTAAACCGTTATACTTAGATTAATTACGTTTTAAAAACAATCTCGAATATCAAATACAACTTTTCATAAGAAAAAATAATATACCTCAAACAATAGTCCATTCCTCTTTCAAACGACAAAGCTAACGAGTTCAAACTGCACGACGACCAATGTATGGGGGTAACGGACGTGCTCGAAGGGCTCATGATACATTTCTTGTCGGGACACTCGCACAGTTCATCGGTGTCATGCTCCATGCCAAAGTTGTGGCCCATCTCGTGGGCTATCGTCGTGGCGACCAAGCCGATGACGTCAGAGTGGTTGGTAGCCAAGCCGCCGGAGAACTCGTAAGTACATATCGGACCTTTCAAAGCCTTGCCAACAACTCCATCTGTGAATTTCTGACGTCTAAAAGCAAGATATGTATATTGACATGTAAATATAATTAAGTTACAAATAATAAAAACATATCAAAGTATCTTAGAACGAATCTATTCCTCTTAAGAATTCTCTCTCTCACTGTCATTAGCTGCCTCCATCATTCTCTTTATACCCATCTTCAAACCATATACTTATTTCTCTTGACGAAGAGCGGTTACCAACACTGGTTTTACTCAACATAAACTCTAGTATTGAACAACTTTTATTAATACTTACGTAAGTAATTGTGCATTGTCATTTTGTAGATCATCAGACTTCAGAAGTACTGTCTTTCTATATCGTAAAAAATTCGTTAAAGTCCTATCTCCATCTTCTTCTAACTGAATCTGGTCGTGCTCGTTCCACACGACTACGCCGACAAGGGCAATAAAGATGTTCAGTGGGGCGTATACCTAAAAATATAATGTTACACTAAGTATTTATAATAATATATTTATATTTATTATTTATAATAATTATAAAAATAAAATATTTTGCCTCAAGTTTAGGTTTGCAGACTGACACATTTAAAACTGTTTGCAGATAATTGGCTTTCGAGGGCCGCTTTAATCACGACCTGTCACTGTATTGTACTAGAAGCATCGTGAACCATGGGATCGGATTTACAGGTACGCCACTGCGGCCTCTTCGAGCTTCTTCAACATCAGTCCCGTTTCAACATTCGTTTTTTTTACTTTAATTTATTTTCTTCGTTTAAAGGTCACTTTCCCAAGGAGGGGTTAGAAGAATCCACACAATTGGAAAAAGGACAGAAAAAATTTGATTAAAATAATAATGACACACTAAGGTAAGATTAGTTGTAAATAGGTAGCAAAAGTCTAGTTTAGTACTGAATCACATCCCTAAAACTCTAGAGCGAAAATATGGTGTGTCTTCCGGGCAAGCGGTAGGATTGTGTGGCCAGTTAGTGTCAATATGACCTATGTTTACAAATAAATGATTCTGATTCTGATTCTGAATAAACTTGCCTATCACCGACCTGATCCATCACCGAGAGACTGTACAACCCGCCTGAGCTTACACCTTGAGGGAGTCAAGCGTGAGTGTGTGCATGAACATTATAAAGTCTTACCGAGTTAATAATATTAGCAACAGTCTTCAATTGTCTGTAGACAGTCTGCAGGTCTTCGCCATTAGCTTTAAATTCTCTGTTGTCAGCGACTAGTACCAACTCCACGTACCGAGAAAGTTTGTTCACGTTGTATGGCCCTCTAACTTGTGTGTCGTCTGATGCATACCTTTTATACTGAAAAAAGAAAAAGGAATCAGCTGACGCGTAGGTAGTACAACTACGAGTAATATCATGTAAAAGACATTTCCACGTGCACTTTATTAAAAATGAAGGGGGCGTATATTGTAACAGCATCAAGAGAAAAAAGAAATTTAAAGAGACAGTTCGCAACCTTTTAACAGCATCATAATTTAAGCAGTGCTAACACCATTATGTCATTAATTTACTTATTTCAACACCATAAACCTTTCCTATGAGTTGCCATGACGTTAATAAGTCTAAATTAATTATCCTGTTAACCCGCCCAATTAAACATTAATAAGAAGTGCAATGATGCAAGTAGTGATTCAACCACTTATAAACTTATAGCTTTAAACTTTGTATAGTTTACACTTTTTTTTTAAACCAACTTCACTATTTTATGTCGAGTTTATAATTTCACTATGTATATCAGTCAATATTAAAAATAGTCACAATAATCGATGTTTTTTCTAGGTTTTTTTATATGAAAACTACCTATTACTCTATGGCTATGTAGGTCCATACACGGGAGTTAAAATTGAAAAAATACTGTTTAGATGGTTTCTGACGGCTCAAGAACACCTGAACCAATTTCAACATCAATGTAACAGAAGACACCCATGACAGACAAATAACTATAAATTACTAGCTTTTGCCCGAGACTCCGCCTGCGTGTATGTTGGTTATCACAGTAAAAAGTAGCCAATGTGATAATGTAGCTTCCCGTTAGTGAAAGAATGTGTGTAAAATCGGATAAGTGGTTTAGTTGTGAAAGAGTAACAAACAAACACGCTTTCCCATTTATAATGTAGGTATGGAAGTATGGAAACAAGGATCATAACTTACTCTTGAAATCCTGCTTTTCTGTTGCTCCTTTACATTATGGTATTTGTGGTACAGTTGTGGATCATACTGCGAGTTGTTCGTTACACCTCCGACGTAACCGCAATGATGAGACTCGTTAAGGTCCGAATGGTCGTATAGGTAGTGGTCGGAAGTAATGTCCCCACCTACAAAAAAAAAAACTATGGTTTAATCTCTATACATAATATTGTCTGTATTTTTGTATGCATTTTTAAGCAAATGCAAACAAACCGGTATGTGACATTTGGAGCACTTAAGGTTTATATTTAGAAGAAGCTAAAGAGTTTAACCCCTACTTTTAACTAATTTAAATATTATTGAAAAATGTTGTAGTCAATTGTGAACAGTATTTAAATTAGGTCCTATAAAGTTGATTCTATTTGGTTTTAAAAAGGTAATTTTCTGAGAAGGTAAAGTTTATAATCAACTACTTATGACAAAGATTATAAGCTATTGTTGTTACTACGACAACGATTCGTAGTTACTCCTATTTGAAAGCCCAAATAGTAACTCTAAGTCCCTGTTATTCCACCACAGACCAATCAAAATGCTGCAAAACATAAAATCAAGGGTCAGGGGTATAACGTAAAACCAATTTAAAAAAGTGATAAGGTACCCCAGACAGGCTCGATATATCTCATTCTCTCGCCGTCAAACACAATGCCCTGGACACCATGGCACGTCGAGACTGCCACCCACGAGTCCGGCTTGTCACGCACGGAGCCACTGTAGTGACACAAGTCTATTTCCTGTAAAGGGAAACGAAGCGAAGGTTAAATTATAATGTCAAACGATTAAAAAGGCATATTGCCTTAATGCATTAGTTCATTTTTCCTGATAGGATCTGAAGGTCAATTCTAGTAATAAAAAATAGTTCAAAATTTAGTTCCGATATACCTACTCTCGATCTAACAAATGCCGTGAAATAAATTCTTGTTGTGTAAAGTATTACTAAGATTAGCAGAATAACGATTCAACTTCGTTTACAATACGATACAATCATATTACAGTCAACGTATAATAATGTTTTGTACTTTAACTACGAGAATATTGTTTATGACATTTATGAGATCGAAATCACATCAGAATTTAATTTTGAACGAATTTTTACATACGTTACAATCTTGTGTTAGATCCTCTATTATGCATTTTTAAAACCACTAACATGTAAGTGAAAATAAAGTCGGGGAGAATAACTTCATGTTCATCATTTTCATAATGTATCATTTGTGCAAGTCGACTTCTACATGGCAACAAAAAACTTGTGCTAGCAATGTTGCTGAGCTGCGGTCTTATAAACGGTGATAGTACATCTCCCGAGTCAGGTAGCATTCATTCCAATTAAATCCTGTTTGCTAAAACGATGTCTATGAGCTACCTGTATCCTACCGGATACATGTAGCGCATAGACTAAGTATGTGTAAAAGGAACACGTAATAAGGTTTATTATTTGTGCTGAGTTTAGAAACTTGGATATCGCAAAGTAGTTTCTTTAATAAATATTGTAATTATAAATATATAATAAAATAATAAAATAATAATAAATATAATAATAAATAGAATATTCTTTACTAAATTAAATTTCTGTGATTAAATATAGTGAATTCAACCTAGTATGGTTTTAACGAGTTCTCATTATTTGCAATGTGGGACCCATTTTACTAGACATTTTGTATATTTTCAAACTAAAATAATAAAAACGGCGTGAGGGATCTATGGACCCCCGGTCACAACTAAGTTCCTTTCGCGTTAACTATAACAAGAATTTTTGGAAAAAAACTTGTTTCACATTTTTCGGTCTCGCTCCCATCCGCTCAGTGCATGTAACGCGCGATAAGGACGTACATGTACCCACGACCTCCTGCTTAGCAGTCAGGGTCACTAACTAACTAGACCAACAGGCCCAAACAAGAATGCTTAAAAGCTACATGAATTAAATTGTATGAAGAAGGTATGCAGGTTCTTTTCCACTTTGAAATTCAAACATTTTAAGACTCACTTCTTTCTTAGGTTTATGTAGCACAGTTTTGCCGTTCACTTGATAACTGAGGACGTGGTTGTCCGTCACTAGATCGTGGTTCAGTCGAAGGTCGAGGATATACTCTTTACCGTCTATAGGAACTTTCATTGTCACCTCTCCATGATGTGCACCGTTCTGAAACAATTAGGCCATTTGTTTTAACAATAATATCACAGATCTACATTTGAAGACACTGAAGATACTTTTTTGTCTTGCAAGACTGCCTTCCTCCAGTTATCAAGCAATTACTGAGAGATTCTATGTTTATTTTATTCTATATCGAAATGATAAGCTTTTTATGAGTTTATTGAAGGCATTGGTTTGGCAGAGAAATAGAGAGAGAGAGAGAGAGAGGGAGAGGGAGAGAGTAATTGCTACTAACAGGCTCATCGCTACATGTATATTTACAGTTTTTATTCTAGTCAACTTGTTGTAGTATTACTACAGCAATTATGAAAGAAAGGAATCTCATGTTTACAGATAAACTACAAACTAGGCTCGTATACGAGTAGATACTATTTTCATATAATTGCAATGCTTCTTATTGTACCTGGCAGTCAAAGAGAAGAAGATATAATCATTCGCTCCATTACTAAGAATAACTAAGCTGGTCATATATCGTAGGCGCAGTACATAACGAGAGAATTACATCGGAAACAATCACTTGATTCCTCATTAATATCTAGACTGTGCTAAATTTCGCGGAGGTCGTATCGTATGAAGTCATAGATTTCGTTATTTGATTACTAGTTGAAAGTTTAATAATAATAATAATATACGTCACACATCTTACACACGGCCGTCTGATCCCAAACTAGGCAGAGACTGTATTATGGTAACCAGACTGCTGATAAACATACTTATACGAGTATATTTCTAAATAGATATATGTTATATATAAATTACACCCAGACACAGAACAACTGACCGTGCTCATCACTCAATATTTGTTTTGGGTGGGAATCGAACCCACGACCTCCGGTTTAGCAGTCAGGGTCACTAACCACAAGACCAACAGGCTCGTCAAAGTTTAGGCACAGATGCTGTTTGTCTTATTACCAGTTTCATTTTATGAGAAGAAGTTTATTTTTCGTTCTTCGTCATACATACGAGTACACACAATACAACTTGTTTTAAGCTCATCTTGACTGGGGATACATAGTTATCAAATGAAGCCAAGTCAATCTTTTTATTTCATAAAACATCTAATCGATTGAACAATTTCTTTTTACTAAATATGATCGATCAATATACCTGTATAATGTCGACGCAAAAATATTTTACTTTAACAAAAGCTAAACTATTGAAGTAATAAATACCAAATAATAGCGTGTTACAAACATTAAAAACGCTATCTGTAATCACCCGTTTTAAATAGTTCATGAATTGTTTAGGTTTTAGATTATTTAGTAAGGTTAGTCGAGTGAACTATGAATTTAGTTAACTATCATCTATTTATCTATTTAATTTCTATAATTTGAAATGTAAGTTGTAACATCTTGAATAAGAGCTTACCAGTAAGGTTCTAAACTTCTATGGGTATTCATGGGACACAGTTCAAAGAATTATATTTTTTTAGGTAACAAAATAATCATTATGTCTTGCAACGCGTGATATAATTATCGGGGCTGTTAGTCTAGTGGTTAGTGTCCATGACTGCCAAGCTAGAAGTCGTGGGTTAGATTCCCATGCAGGACAAATAATTGTGCGATTAGCGATCATTTGGTCTGTGTCTGGGTGTAATTCATCTAGAATAATGTATGTATATTGAAATATATAAATATGTTTGTGCTGTTGTACAACCCTGTGCTGTTGTAACCAGACTCCTGGTCTGGTTACAACAGCACAGGGTCTGTCTAGTTTGAGGTCAGACGGCCGCGTGTGATATATGTCCGGTTATTATTAATATATATATATATATTGAGTTGCCAATAATATACTAAATCGCAAACGCATTGTTGACTTGTTGTTTTCTTCATAAATTAATTAATAATAATATACAGTACAATTATCTGTTAGAAAAAATATCTTTGAATATTCCTCACTCTTATACCAGATATAAAATAACAAAAAAATTCACCGCACAATTTTCAAGATCTAATTCAGGTTATCAATCACCCATAAATGGAGTCCTTAACAAATGTAATAGTATCCAAACTCATGATCCCGATATTGACATCTTTAAGCCAATCGTTTAATGTATTTAAAACTAAAATACTAAATTTTGTGTAATTTAACTTCCACCCCAAACAATTGATAATAATTAATAACTTATAAAAAAGATTTAAAATAGTACTAATTCAAATAGTTTATTATTATTAAGTATACTTCTGTTTAGTTTTTAATTTACTATTCTTACACTACTACATTACAGTAAATGCTATATACACCGCAATTGTCATACATTTCAGACAAAATGCCACATATTGTTAAAATTTGTTTCAACTATAATATGTATGATGTGGTATTACTAATAAATAAATAAATCTTGCTTTCCATATCCATGGCAAACCAGCTTTTTTTTTCTAAATCCTAGCAGCTTGTTTCATCTGATAAATACAGAGAAACTATCTATACTAAAAAAGAGTTTGGTACTTTCCACTGTCTATAAAACAATTTACCAACATTATCAGCTTATCACAAGAAATCATAATTTGGAGCTTTAAAAAATCTAAACTAGTGGCCTCGACATCATCACACACACCAGGTCAGCGGTATAAGCTACTTCCGTTCTAATTGCAATTCTGTTCTCTATTACATTGCATGAATTGTAGTTAACCACGCACGTGTTGTTTAAAAGAAAGTGATTGTTGCTGGAGTTCAGTCTGATTTTTAAAATAACTTTCACTCTAAGAAATATGATTTTAAGTAAAAAAAACGGTCAAGTGCGTGGGCCTGGCACAATGTAGGGTGTGATCCGTAGTTTATTACTATCTATGGAATAACCAATATTAATATTTCGCAAAAGGATAACCGAGTCGAAAAATAATCTGCATACTCCCATAATATTTTGAAAAACCTATCCGAAACACCTTACACTATAGCCTAGAAAACACAATTTAAATCCACTTCAGGCGTAGGTAACCCTTATTACATTTGATTTTATTTTTCTCAACTGTTTTATCAGCGTTATTGTTGGAACTACGAAACCCTAAAAATCAAAATTATAAAAGAGCACAAACTTCGACATTATTAAAAATATACTTCAAAAAAGACAAACAGATAGAAAGATAAATATTATCATATATATAAAATTCTCGTGTCACAATGTTCGTTCCCGTACTCCTCCGAAACGGCTTGACCGATTCTCATGAAATTTTGTGTGCACATCGGGTAGGTCTGAGAATCGGCCAACATCTATTTTTCATACCCCTAAATGGTAAGGGTGACCCATCCCTAATTTGTTTTTGTTTTGCAATACAACGTTTGCCGGGTCAGCTAGTCTACTTGTAGAAAGCTGCTATGTAAAAATAATAATTCTTTTCTTGTAGACCACTGTGTCCAATAACATCATGTCGAAATGCTGGAACTAAGTACATGGTACTAATATTTTTGTTTGATTTTTCTATTTTGTTTTGTTTGTTTTCTATATATCAGTCACACGAATTTTATTTCAGTGTCAAAGTTCTTTATATTTATGTAGTGCACTGATCCCCTTTGCTCTGGAAGACCGACATCTGGTGACATTCCGTATTCTTGATCCGTCACTACACGGACAACGAAGATATACGAGTACCTTTTTAATGCCACGAAGTTATAATTGTCTATGTCTTTAGCCTCTACAAGAGGCATCTTCAATCGCGAAATATTCAATAAGTCATGACTCCGGATGGAATTTGTCACTCAGTTTTTATGATAATTATTTTATGGAAGGGACTCACCGTATCTCTCGTAGTGAGGATCTCTCTTTTAGTTCTGCCATGAAGAACAACAGGTTTGACTAAGCTGTGTCTACTGAAGTCTAAGGATGGTGGTCCTAGAACAAACAAAATATACACATGAGTATTAAATGCAAACTTTTAAACTGTAGGTACTTTCTGTGAGAGTAAGTTTAGTTGAAATTTAACAAATATACTTAACGAGTTTCTTATTTAATATTTTTAAATAAATGTCCAAGGCTGTGCTTTATAAGGAAAAGCAACCAAGTGATTACAGAGGACAAGTTTCGATTTATTGATTTTACTATTATTTTGAACACAATGTATAGGGGGTAAACAAGCAGACAGGTATCTAACCTGACCTGCAATTTAAAAGTCACAAGTGAGTGGCTAATCTTTTTAGAGCCCCTCCTCCAACAATCAGTGGAAGCGGGAGTTTTTGGCTCTGGTGAAAAGCACCGCACGCACTTGGTGAAAAGCAAGGAACAAATGGTTAACGGTCGAGCTGGCCCATTTGTGCCCAAGTATATAAAACTATTGAGTATTATATAACTATTGATACTTGTAACAAACACCTCAACAATCACTGAGTTTTCACCTTCAATTAGGCGATGGCTGTTTTCTATTGGACACAATTATTGTGGCCAGTTTAATTTCACAGGAGTGCCAGTAAACCCATTACTGACATTGATAGCTATTGGCCAGATTTCATAATGAGGAGTGTTTCTAAAAAGGCAAAGAGCTGTTTGTATGTCTAGTTCATAGAATTTAAAAGGTTTATAGTAAACCTTTGCCAATACGAGGATCTACGTAACACAAATTCAAATACTTCTGATTTGAACATAATCATCATCAACAGCCTTTAATAATCCACTGCTGGACATAGGCCTCTCCTTAGAAAGGACGCTTTGGCCTACGATACCACGCTGGCCAGACGGGTTGGTATAGTGTTTGTTTCAAGTTTTCCTTCTCTTTGCAGTGTTGTGGTCCTGCGTAAATAAGTATCTTACTCATCAACAGCCTTTAATAGTCCACTGCTGGACATAGGCCTCTCCTTAGGGTATAGGGTTTATTTCAAGTTTTCCTTCTCTTTGAGCAGTGCTCCCTTAGTCGTCTCTTACGACACCCACGGGATGAATATGGATGGAGACACTCCGTATTCTTAATCCGTCACCACCACTGATTTGAACAACGGTATTTATACTCTAAACAAAGATGAATCATATGTATAAAAAACACATATATAACAGTATTATATATATAATACAAGTATTTATTGGAAATAAATCTTATTGTTAATACCAAATATAAGTGATTTAAACTCTTTCGTCCATACTAAGTAGATCTCCTTGTTAGTGTCAATTGTTGTGTGACAGTTGGAAGTGACGTGTCGTGACAGGTACAAGTCTAAAGTCCGTTGTTTGTACCCATAATGGTAACCACCTCGTTCAATAACAAACTAGAACACTTGACCTAGTAACAAGAAACTAAATTAATGCAGGTTTAAAAAATTAAGATTTTTTTTATGACATCCTGTCTTCTATGGAGATTTGCAGCTCAAGAATTACCAGTACGTTAGCGACCTTTGAAGTGGAAGTAGGTCTGTTTCTTGATGGTTTGGAAGGTCGTATTGGTCCGGAAATACTGAAGGCGACCATTTCGATTAGGTGTCAGTACACACCTACGAATTTGAGTAGGTTAGGGACCTACTCAAATTGGAAGGTGTGTACTAACAGATTAGCTTAAAGCCGCATAATAACATGCTATTTGTTAAGTCATAGTTGACTATAAAGGTTTGTTTATTAACAACGTCTTTCACTTCCGCATTAGCAACTATAAATTGTACAATAGCTTATTATTTACTACTCAATGGTTGTCATACCATAAATCGAATAAGGGAACCCATAAACGCACAGTTATCCATGAACTCGTATGTATTAGGAATAAGGATGGATGTACCATATGCTGTCAGGAACCTTTCAAGTTTATAGATAATATTGATGAGGTATGTGCGTGTCGTACGTACTGGGATCCGTATATGTATTTAAAATATTACTATATTCCTAATAAGTATTACAACTAAGGTAAAGGCACATCTGCGGAGTTTACAAGTATAACTGGTTTATAGCATCAAATTGTATTTGACTTTTTAATTAAAAATATACCTTGTTTAATCTTTACATAGTATAAAATAAAGTCGCTTTTTTGTGTTGTACACTTAGATCTTTTAAAATAAGCAACGGATTTAAATGCGGTTATCACCAATAAAGAGAGTGATCGAGACTAGATAGTCTCGGATTTTAACTACTAAACTATGCATGTATTATACATATAAACTTTCCTCTTAGATCACTCTCTTTATTGGTGATAACCGCATTTAAATCCGTTGCTTATTTTAAAAGATCTAAGTGTACAACACAAAAAAGCGACTTTATTTTATACTATGTAAAGATTAAACAAGGTATATTTTTAATTAAAAAGTCAAATACAACTTGATGCTATAAACCAGTTATACTTGTAAACTCCGCAGATGTGCCTTAAGTAAGTAAAATAAGCAACGGATTTAAATGCGGTTATCACCAATAAAGAGAGTGATCTAAGAGGAAAGTTTATATGTATAATACATGCATAGTTTAGTAGTTAAAATCTGAGACTTTCTAACATTTGTCGTAAAAAACATGTTTTTGGGCGCTTACATTGCGAACGCTGGCTAAACCTTACGAGATAGATCAAAATAATGTACTACGGATTTGTATTTCTAAAAAGATCTCTTAAGGATAACCCACAGTAACCATTTTTATCTTTTAAATATTACATAAAAATTATGGGTTATTTACGAAGCTATTTTATTATTCCTTACTTTATTATTCTTTATTCAATGAAATACTTTAGACACGTTGTGCATTAAATGTAGATTAAAATTGCTCTATACAGCATATCATTAAAATGAATATTTTAGAAGATATAAGAGGTTTAATATGCGGGGGCCCAACGACCGTCGCTCTAACCGTACGTTCATCCCGGGTGGCAGCGGCAGGCCGGCAGGAATGGAGCGGGCCTATAAATATTGCATTTAAAGATGTCCTGTAGTATAGTCTTATCATAATAAAAATATAATTAATTACATTAGCATTGTTACTAGTATCAAAATAGCACCCGTGCAAAGCCGGGGAGGATCGCTAGTAGATATATATATACTCGCAATGAACAAGTAATAATTTAAAAAATCAAAAACCGACTGGAAAAGCCAAAATGCCCTAATAATATGGTCATGATATACCATTTTAAAATCCTCATGATGAGCTCTTTAATTCGATACCCATATTGCAAAATGCAAAATAATTTTACTTGTAACTATAGCGTCTCACAGTCATCATGTTGAAAGATATGAGGTAAAAAAGAATATCACATTTGGCATCCTTTAAAGTGAAACAATAGAAAAACGGTCTTATATAGACATGCCACGAATGCTTCGTGATTTACTATTCGGTATTCGGGCCAAACACCGAATAGTAAATCACGAAAAAAAGAAGGCCTAATATTACTCACAAAGATTTTTACTTTACCAATAATTTATTTATATTGTTACTTATTAATATTTAAAACATTTGTTTCTAGGAAACGATCGCGCTTTTTCTTCTAAATTATACCTGCTATTAAACCTGCGGAAATAGCCGCTCACTGTATATACATACAGTGAGCCGCAGGTTTCCAGGAGATGATAATTAAATCTTAGCAAATTCCGTTATGTTAGGAAATTGTTTTGCATTTGCTGACCATTTTACTGATTCAGGTTATTCGGCCAAATCACTATTCGTGGCATCTCTAGTCTTATACTAACTATTTTTGATATTAATAAAAATATATGATTCAGATTTAGTGGGCTTATAGGGAATAACATCTGAACAGACCGATTTCCCATGCCGGAAACCTATGCATGTATAACAAACGAAAACAAACTAACAAGCGTGGACGTTTCTGCGAAAGTTTACTTTGGCTCAGCATCCATACTATTTTCGTTCATTTTTGGCCTAATTTGTTTTACGCAATGTAACGAAACAGACTTTAATCTGTTCAGGCCTTTAATATAGTACTAGGTTTCAGGTACCTTTAAACTAAACCTTAAAACAATTGCAGGTTTACCAGAAAATACATTCACTTGCCAATAAAATGAATCATTACGAGAATTTAAATTTACATACATTATACCGTTAGCAGTCTTTGTTTGAAACATGTGGTACATATGTTTAAGATTAGCATTCTTTGTTAGAACGTTTCCAAATTTTCACGTGCGATCTATTCCGTGTGTAAATGTTGACTAAATATGGTTTAAGTGTCAGGAACTCAGGACCCATTAGAATTACTTTTAAGAAGCAGAGAGAAGTAATTTATACAAAGATATCCTACATGGTTCAAAATTACACGACAGTTGCATAGAGAGAATTGCAGTCACCTCTAAGATGGAGCGCTGTTAAACTTATGATCTCCATAAAATACAGATCTTAATAATTATAATAATTGCAGGATAATCACGATCGTTTGTTACCTTAGTCTGGGTGTACCTTATCCGTAATATGTACATATGTATTTAGTAATATTTATAATGGTTATCAGCGGTTTGTTTACTATAATACCGACTCTATATATATATTTATATATTTTACTAGCTGTACCCTGCCACGCTTCGCTGTGGCACATTGTGTTTGCATTGATGAGTAATAAGAACGAAAAGTGACGCGAAAAATAGATAAAAACCCATATTTGAAACGTGTTGTATATTGTGTCAAAATTTGAGCTCAATCGGTGCAGAACATTTTGAATTGACGAGCCTGTTGGTCTAGTGGTTAGTGACCCTGACTGCTAAACCGGAGGTCGTGGGTTCGATTCCCACCCAGGACAAATATTGTGTGATAAGCACGGTCATTTGTTCTGTGTCTGGGTGTAATTTATCTATAATATGTATGTATTTAGAAATATATAAGTATGTTTATCAGCGGTCTGGTTACCATAGTACAGGCTCTGCCTAGTTTGGGATCCGACGGCCGTGTGTGAGTGTGTGAGATATATTATTATATTATTATTATTTATTATTAATTTTGTAAGTGTACATAAACCAACCAACATATATATATATATATACTAGCTGACCCTGCAAACGTTGTTTTGCTATTTACATTATTTTTATTTTTTTGAATTTCTTAAAATCCGTTCTTAGCTGACCTCTACTCGGTGAAAAGAATATTCCTACCAAATTTCAAGTCTTTAGCTCTAATGGTTCCAGAGATATCGTGATGATGAATCTCTTATATATAGATATATATAGATTATTAGTAAGGTAGTGATAAATAGTCATTGCCTATAGAGACTTACCAATACAATGGCTTGTTAGCTTCGTAACCTTAAATACCTCACTTCAAATTTCATGTAACCGATTTCATTTTGTGAGATTCTACTTGTATCAGACTATCAAAACTACCTTTATTGTGCTGTATCCTTTTGCGTAACTGGTATCCTCATCAAGCTAACAATACATGACAATGGCTCGTGTATGATCACTTACAACCAATCATGTGATGTTCCTAACTGAACTAGGCGTAGAGCAATGACCTAACTTTATTACTAGACGGACGTTGAACGACCATGTGCCCGAAATTTCAGTTTTATTTACATAAATGAATGTGACAATTAATAAAATGTTTATTAACTTGTTAGGCTCCCGTCGCGTTTTATGCATATGGTACGTTAATAATAATTTACATCATAACTAATTTCTATTGTTCAATTTTGTGTAATTCATAATTAATTTAATTTCTTTTTCTAATGGCGTTTCTTCCCAGAGTGAGTCTTAGGAAATGCTGGCTCCTTCTAGCTATAAAGTCCGACTTGTAAAAATATCTGAAAAGACTTACTTACATAAATAAATATCATTTAATCACCATTAAATTATTTATATTTTCAACCGATTTTAAAAGGAGGATCTATGTTCCACTGTATGTATTTTTTATGTATGTTACCAATTACTCCGTCAATTGTGGAACGAATTCCAAAATTCGTTTTTAACTAAAATATTTCCTGAAACTATGAGAGACACAGTATTGTACCAGGGTGTTCATTTAAAAGACAAGCCTGATTCTTTTTTATGTGGATGTTGTACCTTGTGCAGTATATATTACTCGTATACACATTTGTCATTTATATATTAGTACGAGATTTATAAACGTAACTACTATGTAAATTTTACTAGTGTTCTTTCAAATTATGCCTGGTAGAATCTTCTATGTGTCGGTGTACCTGAACTGGGAAGTTACTAGAAGTCTACAGAAATCACAAAACCTACGTTTTCTATTTTTATAGACTTCTGGTAAATTTAAACGTAAACATTAATTAGTGCAAACTAAAAAATTGTTAGACTAATAATGTTTTATCTGAAG